GATTTCTGTTCATCTTTGTCACGAGATACGTATGCAAAACAACAGAAAGATTTCCCTTCAGCTTTAGAAATAATGTGACACATTATTTTCATGACTTAGTCTGTGGTAATCGATATTGAACAAATAGAATGAACATAGCAGCATCTTTTAAGCGTGCGAGAAAATTGCTTGGGAATTTAGCTATTTCGGGCCTGAGCAGTCCAGAAATAGCTGTTTTCTATCAGATATGCCAAAAATTGAGTAATTTTCTTGAATGTACGTTTTAGAAATGCCTGGAGGAAAAAGCATGTTAGCAGTAACCCAAATGAAAGATATATTCAATACATACACTATGGAAAAACAACTGAGCATTATTTCTAACACCTAAAAAATACCGTTTGCTTTTACAGCTGCCACTTCTTTTTAAAAATAAATTCTTCAGTATTTATTCAGGAGTTTAGAGCCTTTAGACATGGAATAGACTGTTAACCATGTCCTCTGTGCATGGTTCTGGGGTTGGCTCCAGAGAATCCAACAATGAGTTAATTCTCTGCTGAAAAAGCCAATGGCAAACATTTATAAGCTGCCTCCATGACTCTGAACCCAGTGGTTACAAGTGTCCACCACTTCCCAAGACACCTGTGTTTTTACCAAAGCCAAGTGCACAAACAGCTCATGATATCTTATTTCCTCACGTTAACTGAGCCTTGTTACTCCCCCTAAAAGTTGATGACATTGGTGCTAGCACATTGATTCAGCTAATCCTTAGCCTGCAAGCATTGACATCCTAGATGATATCAGTTCATGTCCCAACAGTTCTGCTTCCCGTTCAGTTCCCTGCTTATGGCCTGGGAACGCAGTGAAGGAAAGGCCTTAGTACCCTGCGCATGCGTGAGAGATCATTGTGGCCATTCGGGGAGTGAACCAGCAGATGGGAAATCTTCCTGTGTGTCTCTCTCTGTGGACTTCCCTTTGCAAAACAACATAAATACATCTTTAAAATTGGTATTTTTCCTAGTCTATGCTTAACGTGCCCAACACTTTTTCATGGCCCCATAGGGTGTGACTGAACAATGGAGATGGTTTACAGGTTCGCCATCTTCTTCAGTGCCTTATTCTTTTCTCTTGTTTACTGACGGTGTGGCTCATGAATCATCTCCAGCCGAAGGAAGTATGACAGAATAATTTGTCTTTTGCAGTCATATTTTCATGCTGATGTGTGCGTGTTTCCGTTACTGTCATCCACTGAGAACTAGTCATATAAAAGGTATATGCTAAAAGAAGAATGATTCAAAGACTTTACATCTTTCTGTTACAACGAAGTAGCATCTTTCTTGACGTAGAACTTGTAGAAGTTGAGTGTGAGTATCCTCCGAAATGATCCTGCTCTTCCCCTCTGCTCCACTGGATCTGCCCACGTATAGCACCTGCATTTCCCATAAGGACCAAGAATAGCATGTTGTTGGCAAGCAGTGAGCCAAGATTTGAGGACATCTTAAGTAAACACAGAAATTCCATGTGCTCCTACTTACTGCTCAGAGCTTTTTTTCTAGTAGTCATTCATATGCGCTATTGACATGCATGAAGAATTTAATGCTTGACACCAGCCTTGATTTACAGCTAGCTAAGTTACCACCTGCAGTGCCTTCTGGCTCCCTATCTGAAAGTACTGGTTCAAGAATACCCTGTGGCTACACTTCTGATCCAGTTCCCTGCAGAAGATAGCCCAGGTACTTGAGCCCTGCACCATACAGTAGGTCCAGTTGGAGCTCCAGGCTCCCAGTCTCTGGAATCATTTTGGAAGTAAACTAATATAGTGAACCACCTATCACCCCCTCTCTGTTTCTGTCACTCTCCCTTTTAAATAAATAAATAGAAAAATAGCATTCTTTTTATTTAATATAATGGTTGAGAGCATGGACTAAGTTCTGATTACAAATGTATGATTCATAACTGTGTGTTTTGGACAAAGCTGCTGAACCTGTCCGTACTTCAGCTATTCCTCATTGTGCTAGTAGTAAGAAATAAGATAGTGGTACTCACAGACTTGTGATACAGAGTAAATGAATGAATACCTGGTCAACATGCTGAATACTGCCATTTGATAATAAATGATCTGTAAATATTAGCTATGATTAACTACTGTATATTTTATATGAAATCTTATTGCTAAAGGTCTTGCATAATCATGCTGCGTGGACTGTAAAAAGATTAGTGAGCCCCATGATCTGCATCTATCAAAGTATTTACTGTCTTATTGGACTATGCTTAAATACCAGCATTGCATTGTGTTACTTTGAACACAAAGAATACTGTTATGATCATTGACTATTAATTAAATAACCTAAGTCCTCTTTACATCTCAATTTCAAATCAACATGACTTTTCTTTTAATTAAATAAGTGCTAAGAATAAATTGTCAATGGAAAGATATAGCAATGATGAAAAGAATTGATTATGCATTTTAAATGGCATTTTTCTATATGTGAAAAATGTTCTTTCAAAAATTGTTCTGTGATCACTTCCAGATTAAGATTTATAACTGGATCTGCTGTGACTCTTTCTTTATTCTTTACAGAAGAATATCTGTACCAAGGTGGAACCCTTTAATAATCCCCTCATTATTTTACTAAAATTTATATTTTGAATTGTGCTACAAATACATTATCAGTTAAAAATGCCTGTTAAAAGTTATACAGAAAAATCTTGGAATGATTTGCTATAATACCTTGTATTTTATTGAAACAAAATATTTATGTTTTATGAATTTGTGAACTGCCCAATGCTTTTTCGCATCACTTTGTTTTTGTTGGCTAATGTGCCATAATGTACTAGCGAGCGTGTTAACTACTGAGCTAACAGGTAGAATAGATCATAATTTCATAGGAGGATGAAGAAAAGAGGACGTCAACAGTAAGTGTTTCAAAGCTGTGTTTCAGGAATACAAGGAGTATTAAGCAGGTACAGGGCATAAAACATAATAGCTCAGTGAAGAGTGATGGTGGAGGGCAAGGATGCAGAACATAACTGTGAGTCAAGGAGCACAAAGGAAGAATTTAAGAGGTTGGGACAATTAAATGTAGTTGAAAAAAACCATATAAATGCCTTCCAGGCAGAAAAAGCCAAATGTAACAAAACCAAGAGGTGACGAGCAAAATGCTCAATGTGGTGTGAAGGAAGAAAACATTGGAAAATACGGCATGTACCAAATCCAAAAACCACACGGACACTAGCCCCTAATAGGAATTTTAAGACTGGCCAGGGTTTTTAATTTTTTTTTTTTGAAGGCAGGAGAGAATGCTAAGGTTGAGCAAGAACCACGAAAAAGGCTTGTTTATATGTTTTATTTATTTTTGTTTGTTTGTTTGTATTGTAGAAAATTCTGGCACCAATGTTTGAGAGAGATTGGAGGAGAGCCCGGTTAGACAAGGGCAAACACTTAGCAGACCACCATGAAAGAGGACACTGTCAATTAAGTCAGTCAGTAAGAAAAAGAAATGGAAACCGTTTAGAAGATGAACTTGCCTCAGTGCCTCCTGTCAGCCCAAGTGCCAAAAGTAGAATCTCCAAAGTTTTGAGACAGGATGCTGTTCTCTGCTGAGAGGGGCAAGGGGACAGAGAGGCAGTCTCATCCTGCCTTACATTTTACCCAGGCAGCTGCCCACCTGTGGAGCTTTCCAGTAAAGGTGACCAGTTGACTGTTAGGAATCCTAATTGCAAAGTAATCAGCTGAGAAATCATCCCCTAGGATTCTTAACTGTGATCCTGTAGTTGCAGTCTGGCAAAGGTCTATGACCTACATGAACATAAGGAAAAGTGATGAGAGCTGAAGTTGGAAACCTTATAAAATACCAGTTATTCGTGGCAGCAGAAAAATGGACAACTGCAGAGCATTCCTGAGAGGTAGTGGGGAGAAAATTACAAGTGGAAAAGAAATTATTTGAAACTAAGGTATAAGAGGGATGAAGGCCAACAGACCTTGCTGTATGCATGGGAGATGTCTGAAAACAAAACATGCTCACTGAAGTGTCCGGAATACCCAGTTCTGGAAAGTACGTTTGAAGAGGGTAATTAAATAACAAATTTTCATTTGGTGTTTGAATTTTTGTAAGAAAAAAAAAGTTACAGCAGTATAATTTTTGTAACTTCTTGTGAGGGTTTAAAGAAAAATACGATCTGAAGATATAAAATATGGTCAATAGAAAATGAAAAAGAAATCCCTCCAACCCCATTAAGCTTATTCAGAAGAAAGGATGGAAAGGGCAATGTGGATTGGCCAAGCATGTCATACTACAGTTAGGTCTGAAAAGATAAGGGCTGACAGGAGCCTTTTAGCTTGATATTTAGATTTGGTCACAAATGACCTTATTAAAAGCAGTTTCATGCAAGCCTAAGGGCAGAAAGCTGACCACAGCGGTGGGAAGTGGAAAGTCAGGGCACGATAAGGTGGTTTAAGACATCTAGTCAGCCCGAAGCTTGAGTGTGAAGGAAGAGAAAGAGAAAGATTTTTAGCTAGGAATTTGGGACTCAGTGTGGGCCAACTGCACACAGTCCTTAGAGTGATAACACAGAGCTCCATGCAAAACCACCAAGCCAGTCACCAAGGGTCAAGAACGAGTGTGAGCAGTTAACCTGCCAGCTGCAGGGATTCCTGCTGTAGTGGCTCTCCAGTTGGCATCAGCAGGGAGTTGGACAAAGAATTGATGATAATGCTCAGCAAGATGTGTTGGGAAGAAGAGACCTTGACTTGCTTGTGTGCCGGAAGGAGGTACCAGATGAGGACAAAAGCTTGAAAGCTCAGAAACCAGTTGAGGCTCTAATATGTACGTTTAGTTTAGAAAATAAGTCTACCTATTTCTGGATATGAAGTTCCATATAAAATGTGAAACTCACCGTGTCCCAAAGGCTGTGGTCATCCATGTGCTTGAAGCATAATCACATTAGAAAAAAAATCTATGAAGAGGGCTGTTGATAAGCTAGTAAATTTCTCCTTCTTTCTTTTTCTTCTTCTTCCACTAAAGCCGAACAACAACATACCCTTACACCGAAACACAGATGTACAGCCAGAACACTGGAGGGAATTACTTTGATACTCAAGGAAGTTCTGCCCAGGTGACGACCGTGGTCTCCTCCCACAGCATGGTGGGCACTGGTGGGATCCAGATGGGCGTCACGGGAGGCCAGCTCATCAGCAGCTCGGGAGGAACCTACCTGATCGGCAACTCCATGGAGAATTCAGGGCACGCAGTGACACACACCACTCGGGCCTCCCCTGCGACAGTAAGTGTTTGAGTTTTCCCGTATTCAGTTTAACTTTGTGGGAAACCTGTGTTCTCACTTCTCTGTAAAGGGGAAAAAAGATACAGTCTGGACAGGGCAGCCTTGTATTGAGCAACGTCTGTCCTGGGCTGGGGCAGATGGTGGAATGTGTGGTGTTAGGCAAAATGATATGCACACATTGGGTTAGCAGTTAAGTGACTGGGAAAGCTTTCATTAGTATCAGGCAGTCAAAAAAGGTGGTTTTCACTCATTGAGCCAAATATAATAGATTTTTTTCAATGATATTCAGTAAAATACATTAAATTTCTGCTGAAAGACCCTACTTTCATGTTTTGCCCGCTTTATAAGACTAAAAAAAAAACAGTAAAAATATAATTTTCTTGGAATTTTCATATCTTTCCATATTTCCACTAGCTCACTATCAGAAAAGTTACACTGAGTAAACATTTCCCAAATCTTAGATATTTAAGTTTTGCCATACTCATTACCTGTACTGTTCTTTACTTCATGTATTTTTTAAGGGAACTAATTTTAAGATAGAAACCATATGCACTTTTCCTGATATTTATGGAAAGCAATACTTAAGTTGAAAAAAAAATTTAAGAAAAATTGTCCCTGCATCCTGTATGAACTTACGTTGCATTCTCCCGGAGGGACACCTGGGAAAGCACGGATACAGGTGACATAAGATGAAAAGTGTATTTAGGTTGACTGTTAGCATAGTGATAAATAATATCCTAGGGGCACACCTCCATATTTGAGTTTTCAAGTTTTAAAAGCTTAATAAATATTTATTTTGATACAGTGTACTCAAATGTGCTAAAATGGTGTCATTGAAATCATCACGGAAGGTTGCATAGCATTTGACATCATCAACTCTGTAACCCAAACCTCGCTGTTTTCACTTCGGCTTAGCATGTGGGGGAAGAAAAAAATGGTTAGAGTTGCCTAGCATAAGCACCAAGGGAAATGATTGGTTGGTGTTCCATATCCAAGGGAGCTGAGGATTTGAATTAAGTGGGTACAACCCTTTCTTAGCATCTTGCTTTGTAGTTTTCTTCTTGAAACATCGTATGGGGGAATAAATTTGTCAGAAAATATTAATACGAAAGATTTGTATTTTTATTTTGTGGAATTTCTTCCAAGTATTATATGTGCTTAAGTACTTTGGATATATGCCTTGCGTATTTATGGTGATTACATGTGTTCACCTTGTCATCATTAGGCCCTTTCCCCTAATATCAGAGCCTTTTCCTTACAATTCTCTCTTGTTGTCATTGTTATTTACTGACATCAAAAGCAGGTGAATAGCAGTTCTGGATGGAGAGTTCCTTTTGTATTTCTTCTTTGTGTCTCTGAAGCATTTATTTTTTGAAAGAATATCAAATACAGTATTTCTAAGCCTTTTAGTCACAGCAGAATGCTATCTAGACTCGAAGCCCAACCCAGTTGCCAGTCATAAATTAGGGCTTCTGCGGACCCCAGTTCCCCCTCATTAAAATAAAAGTCTGTTAAAGACTGAATGATTCCCTGGATTATAAAATATCCTAGAGCTCGAAATATCTGTGTCTTTACCACAGGAGGAATGATGAAACAAAAAAGTGCTAGTGCTTTGTAGCAGTCTCAATAATAACCACCCAGAAAATAATTTGCAATGACCAGAAAAAGTGCCCACACTCACCAAGGCCTCCGGAAAACTGAACAACCAGTTTTCAGTTGCCATCTGCCAGTTGGGTGACACGTGACTTTGCCAGCATTCCCGCTTCTCCTCACGTGGATGTGGAGCTACTTGTCTTGTTACAAACAGCTTGATCAACTGGATTCAGGATTAGCAACTCTTGTTAGAGTTATCGATGAATTAACAACATCATATATCCATCTCGTGTAAATACAGTTGCAAATATGAACATGAGAAGTTGTGTGGTTTGACTAAAAACAATGGTAAGGTGTTCCCTCTCATAGAGGAAGATGACACTGCTCCCTAAGTTATATGCACACAGTTTTTATGTAAGGTATTTATTGTGTTAGTTGATAAACTAGTTATATAAGATAACTGAATTATAAAAATTGGGATAATCTGAAAGCTTTTAAATAAACACTAATTATGCTACCAGCTATATAAGGTTATACTTAGAGCCTTCACATTCATATATTGTTTTGCTAGTTTTTTTTTGGTTTGTTTTCTGCAAAATGAATTTTCAATAAAAGGAGTATAGTTTAAACATAACCTATTGCCTGGGAAAATCACAAAGTACCTTCATCAAAGCCCATGTGATAGTATGTATGTATCAGATATTACTGTGGTAGTGATCATTGTATTATCTTGCTTGTAGTTTTTGTAGACACAGTTGGTTAAGATTCCTCACTCACTCAGCCTTAAGATCTGCATCTTTCTGAGTTACAGAGAGGTTGCGATGTTTGGGTTATTCATCCATTTCTGTTACTGTAGCAATATTTACAAAGGTTAGTTTCCATGAAACTCATTCAGGGTTTTCTGCTTTCTTCCTCTTACCACCTGTTAGAATATTGGCAGATTTTTGGTTGTTTTGATTCCTAGAAATTAAGATTTTTTTTTCAGTAGGTACCATGTCATTAAAAGGAATTTGTTTGATTTCATGATCTTCTTTACTCATTGTAAAGCCATAATGTAAAACAAATATGTGCACAGCCTGTGGCAACTTCTTGGTCAAGTATCAAATCAGTTCTTGCCAAGCACTTAACTGTCTTCACTGTTCAAACTGTAACCTGTATGGCGTGGTTGGTGCATCTGCCTGTATAGGAGTAGCCTATTCTGAAGCCCAAATTCCTGACCATGGAATGCAGCCGGCTCTCTGTGTTTGTCATCTCCATACACATGTGCTTAACCAACATGAAGTCAAAGCTATTTGAAGAAATTGCATTTCTATTACTGAACATATGCACACTTTTTTCCCTCCTCATTATTCCATAAGCAGTGCGGCATGTTTAGGTAATATTTACATAGTGATAGATCTATCCTAAGAACCTACAGATGATTTTAAAGAAATGGGAGTAAGAGCATAAGTTATACATAAGTAAAGCACCGTTGGTGAAAGCATTGAGCCGTTGAGCATGTTGGACTTGGATCTGTGAGGCTCCTGGAACCAAACCCCATAGATGACTAGTGACACAGGCCATTCCTGTAGATCCTTTAAGCAAACTGTAAATCAGTTAGGTTGACAGGAAATTACTTAGGTTTAGGCACTTCCGATAGCGCAAATCGAACACTTTTATCAGTTCTTGGATAGCAAAGTTTCCTGCTGTTGTTCTCAAAGTAATTGCTTTGGTTCTTTCTTACATTTTTCTTATGCCTTTCCATACATGCTTTATATCATTTGTAATAATTCTCTAACACAAAAACGTTCTATAACAGACAGATGCATTTTTCAAAATATCCAACAGAAAAAAGTGACTTGAAGTTACTAAGGAGTTACTATACTAATCTACAGTCAGTATAAAATCTGGAGTTTGCTTCTCTGTAGTGGAGAGATCTCTGAATTATCAAGAGAATTTTTTTTGTGTGAAAGATGAATTTTAAAACATTTTTTTGAAAGGCAGATTTAAGAGAAGGGGAGTGCAGGGCGAGAAAGACCTTGCACCTGTTGGTTCATGCCTTACACGGCCATAACAAGCAGGGTTGGGTCAGGGTGAGTCCAGAGCCAGAAGCTTCATCCAGGTCTCCCATGTGGGTGCAAGGGCCCAAACATGAGTCATCAGCCACTGATTTCCCCAACCCGTTATCAGGGAGCTGGACTGGAAGTGGAGCAGCCAGATCCAAATTGTTGTCCATATGGTATGCCAACTTTGCAGGCGGCAGCTTAACCTTTGTGCCACAACACTGGCCCCCCATTAACAGAATTTCTATTTGAATATAGGACTTCCTTTAGTTTAATAGTTTTATGTTAAAATTTTTGCATAAAGATCGTTCAGTGCTTTGCGTTTGGCCTCAGGCATTATAACTTTTTCAGTTTGCAAAGTTCATAGAATTATCAGCATTCTTCAGATTATGATGATAACAAGATAAATTTTTAAAGATCGGTTTATTTGATTTAAAAGCAGAGTTACAGAAAGAGAGGAGGAAACAGAGATCTTTTATCCATCATTTCACTCCCCAAATATCCACAACTGTGTCGGTTGGGCCAGCTTGTACCCAGGAGCCTCCAGCTCCGTATGGGTTTTCCACATGGGTTGCACTGGCCCACACACTTTGCTGCTTTCCTAGGCAGCTGGGAGCCGGATGGGAAGTGGGATATCTGTGATGTGAACTGGAATTCGTTTGGAATGCCAGCATCACAGCCAGCCAACCTGCTGCACGACAGCGCAAGCCCCACAAGTTAAATTTCACATGTCGAATATGTGGTGAAAAAAAAAATCAGTACTCACATTTGACCAAAATAAAAGTTACCCTGTAATTTCTAATATTCCTTCATTAGGTCTGTAGGGTCTATATGTTTATAGATTACATATATATTGGTTGTGTGTATGATTAAGAATAGGTACACATACATTTAAAATGTATCATTTTCTGCTGATAAATAGAAATGTTTAGAATAATTATGTAATGTTGTTGGCCCATCGTGGATGTGAGTTTAGCTAATTTTCATGTGGAAGGTTTTTTCTTTATTTTGTTAAAATAAGATCAGGGACCCATCTATTACTATTTAAGGAGCACGTGGACACTCACGGAGGGGAACAGGTGGCTGACTCACACTTCAGGCGCACTTACATCTTTCTCCCGATCTCACTCTGTACCACATGGTCTTCACAACTCTGTGTTTATTGACTTGATATCCAAAGATGCTTTTCTTGATTGCTCCTATGTATAATCATTTGAAGAATTTTAGAATTTTGTAACCCAAGCAGCATTTCCATTTGAAGATTTAAAAAAATTTGTGAACTGTAGTCAGTGATTTTGAATGCCCCTCATAGCATACTCCGTCATATATGCAAATATAATGTAATGAGCAAATTTCCTTAAGAAG